GGCCGGCCGGGTAGTTCCCCGCGACTCCGCCCGGGGCGCGCGGGCTGGCGGTCAGTTCAGGACCTGGGAGCCTTGAACCGAACCCGGTGAGAGGGATGGGACGTCTTCTCCTTGCTCCGCTTTGAATATCAGGACAAGATGCGGATTGTGCACCACATGTGCACCACATGTGCATGCCTACCCACCCACACCACACACAACGCATCACACGCACCTGCCTGTGCGCATATGGCATATATATGTATTTATATATATACACATGCACACGCACGCACGCACATGGTGTCGTAGACGAGAACCTTTGCTTGATGCAGCGACTCAACCAGCTTCAACCGAACGAACCAGACGTCTGTGCTGATGCCGGCTGAAGGTCCGGATCGACCGGATGCACATCTCTGTCGGTGGGTGGGGTGAAGTGGATCTTGCAGGGTGATTCGGTTCAACGTCCCGATGAGCTCCATCCAGCTGAAGATGTTGACCGACTCACCGATGGAATCCATGTCGGATCCATGCATGCATGCACATGCCGACGTAGACACCACATCTGTCTCCCTGCTTCAGTGCGCGGGCGAGGTGTCATGGTCCATACCCGCCGGGGTCGGCCCTCCGAAGGGATATTGTCGGATGAGGTCGCCCCTGTTCCCGCCCCTGTTCCGTCATATCCTCTCCCCCCCCCTTCAAGGCCATTCGGTCTCAGCTCAGTCGACGGGGAGAAGCGCTGCGGCCAAGGCGGCGGTGGGGCCCAGTTTCAATCCGGCCCATACAAATCGGTTCCCCCGACACGGATTTTCGGTACGGCGAGCGCAGTCTGGCAGGATCCATGGGGAGATGCCTCCGGGGAGTAGTTGTAGGCGGGAAGACACGGCGTCTCCAGTGGGAACGTGTCGTGCCTCCTGCCTGCAACGTGAGCCGCGTAGCGGCGGTTGGGTCTGCCGGCATCGGTGGGCACCCGGGAAGCTTCCTCCGCAGCTACGGCTGGTCGCGAGGCGATGGGCATCCCGGCCCCTCGAGACCGCTAACCGCGCCGCCTCGTCGCGACCCGCGAACCCTTTTCCATGCCCGGACGAGCTCCCCCGGTGTGGTCTAGGGCGCCATCGGCACCACCGGTGGCCCCTTCGACCGCCGGTCAGCTCGAGCATTCGCGGCGCATCAGCCCCCTCGCCCTCCTCCACCGGCGGGACGGGGCATGCGTCGCGGGCGTTTGAAACCCCGGAGTTCCTCGCGGCTCCGGTTCCGGTTGGGGTCTGTCGACTGTTGGCCGCTGGCTAACGATCATATCAGATTCCCGGGGGAAAGGCCGGCCCGGAATCCGCTGCTCGCCAGCGTGTCCGGGGCGGTGATCCTCCATCGGAGGGACCGATGCGGCAGCCCGTGTTCGCCCTCGCGGGCCGGCACACGATCCTGCCGCGGACCGTCCTCTGAAAATCTCAGTGGGGACAATCGAATGCCGTTCGGGCAGCCTGCGCGGTACGCCGCTGGGTTGCACGCGGCGGGTTCCTTCGCGGGAACCCCTTCCGTCTAGCTACTCCTGCCCCCCTCGGGGGGTTCAGACCCGGGGGCCCTGGCCGCCGGGTCCGGAAGTCAGCTACCTGGTTGATTCTGCCAGTAGTCATATGCTTGTCTCAAAGATTAAGCCATGCATGTCTAAGTATAAGCAAACTATACGGTGAAACTGCGAATGGCTCATTAAATCAGTTATCGTTTATTTGATAGTACCTTACTACTTGGATACCCGTGGTAATTCTAGAGCTAATACATGCTAAAAACCTCGACTTCGGAAGGGGTGTATTTATTAGATAAAAAACCAATGCCCTTCGGGGCTCCTTGGTGATTCATAGTAACTTATCGAATCGCATGGCCTTGCGCCGGCGATGGTTCATTCAAATTTCTGCCCTATCAACTTTCGATGGTAGGATAGTGGCCTACCATGGTGGCAACGGGTAACGGGGAATTAGGGTTCGATTCCGGAGAGGGAGCCTGAGAAACGGCTACCACATCCAAGGAAGGCAGCAGGCGCGCAAATTACCCAATCCCGATACGGGGAGGTAGTGACAATAAATACTGATACAGGGCTCTTTCGGGTCTTGTAATTGGAATGAGAACAATCTAAATCCCTTAACGAGGAACAATTGGAGGGCAAGTCTGGTGCCAGCAGCCGCGGTAATTCCAGCTCCAATAGCGTATATTAAAGTTGTTGCAGTTAAAAAGCTCGTAGTTGAACCTTGGGTCTGGCTGGCCGGTCCGCCTCACCGCGTGCACTGGTCCGGCCGGACCTTTCCTTCTGGGAAGCCCCATGGCCTTCACTGGCTGTGGGGGGAACCAGGACTTTTACTGTGAAAAAATTAGAGTGTTCAAAGCAGGCCTTTGCTCGGATACATTAGCATGGAATAATAGAATAGGACGTGTGGTTCTATTTTGTTGGTTTCTAGGACCGCCGTAATGATTAATAGGGATGGTCGGGGGCGTCAGTATTCGGCTGTTAAAGTTGTCGCAGTTAAAA